AAGAAATATGGGAAATTCAATTCTCTACATATTTGTATACAACCGTTTTTTACGAAAAATGCACAATAAGCTTGCAAATCGCAAAAACCCCAAAAAAAAATTAAAATCCAAGATGGCGGAATGTTCCGGTATGAAATTTATGGTGTCAAATAGAAGTAAACTGCTTCAAAAGTTCGCTACTACAAATTTTTTTCATCGTACCAATTTGATCTAAATTTATTTGGCTTAAATTTAACCCCTGAATTCCTAGAAAATTGCAATTTTACGTGTAAAAGACCTCAATAACTTTAAAAGTTGGGGAGGTTTAAAAATAGGTTAGCCATATTTGACATCGGGGGGTCCATACTACAACAAGTGGTATTGAAATATATTAAATTTCCCCTCTGACTTATGGCATATTGCATGAAAATGCTGACCTTTCGAGGCACGTCTTTCCGTTGTCCGATTTTTTTAATTTTTCGCAGGGCACGTTTTCATGACCAAAGGAACATTTCTAGGGGGAATCTTGCTTTATAACTTAACAAAAAAATTTCTCCACACAACTAAGGCGCAGGCTAATGGGCATGGGCAGAGAACGAGCACACAATGCTCTAGCTAGCTTTTCTCAATATTCATGGCAATCTGAATGTTAACGTTGGCTCAGTATTAAAAGAGCTTTTATCTATACCTCGGTGATTTGCATGTGACTTTTCTGTGAGTTTTGCTAAATTATATCCACAATTATATGCTGAATACTCTAAATAAAACAATGATATTCTTGGTTGTTACGAATGACTTTAATCGAAAGCTAAAGTGATTGAGAAGAGATTTGTCGAGCCCGGTTTTAAATTTTTATTTGTTAAAAGCTCTGGACTATTTTGAACAGTAAATTCCAGTTTGGCACCACAGTTGGACAGGGCAGTGGCAGTGGCGGAAATAGTGTTCGATATTTGCCACGTCTCTCTAGTCTCTACAGCTGCGACAAATATCTTTGGTTAAATAAGTTTTTTAAAGTGAAGCAATTTATATACATATTCTTTCGACGAATTTTGACAAGATGTGGATTATTGTCTGAAAGAGGTTCTGCAGTTTCGTCCAGCTACTGTCCCCTTTTCTAAGCAGCGTTTGGGATGGTTGTTGCGACTCGTCTTACTAGATCGCCGACTATGGAACCATGTATACCAAAATCTTTTCCCGAGTGCGGCACCACATACTATAATAATTACGTATGTGACTGATTTCAATGAAATTATCAGTTGTGCTTACTTTACAGAACGAAGTTATACACAGTGTCTAGTGCCTTTATTTCATATGTCCGCATCTATCAAGGCTCTCAAGCCTACTATGCGCTTATTAGTGTGCGCGTTCTGTGTTCTTAAGTGTTGATGAGACAGCGACATGGTAATTGCTACTGCGCAACAGTTGCCACATAGCCCAACGAATGACACCAGTAACAGCAACAGCAACAGCAACAGCAGCAGTAAAACATCAACAAACAGCAACAAAGTTTCGAAATTGAAGCAAAACGAAGCAGTAAATTGCGAGCAACAAACTAGTTGCTTGGCTGAGCAATTATGATGAGCTGACAGCGCTTGTAGCTATGTAGAGCTATCATATTATGGCTACAGAGTACTCATGTATAAAAGTGTATTAATACATACATACATACATACATATGTAGCACGCAGACGTTGCTGGTTGGTGATCAATGCTGTTGCTACCACTATTTTACGGGCGTATCAAATCAATTTAATGTTGCTGTTGCTGTTCTTTTATATCTTGCGCATGAAGCCCTCAAGGTATCTCAAATTTACCGCACATATGCTGGGTTATCTCTGTTGATATTCTAATGATCAAATGAATGCACAGACATTCCAGGATATTATGGATGTACATACATACGTATGCTTGTTATGCTATGCGTGTGTAATCAGGCGAAAAATGCTGCCGTGTTGCAAGTTACATATGCGCACAAATATGTCTGCATGTATCTATATACACTGATCGATTACAAAATTATGACAACAAATGTTGCTGACTGCTGGCATTAATGCAGTGGCGTAGCTGTTGTTTTTTTTTTTTACTGCCGTTGGATCCTAATGAACACTCAAGAGGCTGGACATTTGGTTGGTGACAGCGCCGCTGACGTTTCAATAGTTGATGGAGTGGTCTTCCAGGAGGTTTGATTCGAGCGCTAAGATACCTGTTGCTGTTTGCGAACTCATCCCGTGCATTTTCATGCAACAAATGGCTGGTAGCTGATGGTGTTATTTTTCGATAGATCTAACAAAAAGTCATAGATGCATACATCTTTAAACAAAAAAGTGAAAAGGCAGCTATGAAGTTTTAAAATTAACAAATCATCAGCAATCAACTTACTTAGTTCGACAAAGAGCGAGGGGCTCACAGGCCAAGTTGGTGGCAGCCATGGCAGTTGCACCTGTGTATGGTCGGTCATAAGGCGGGCAAGCCAGCGTGACGTTCGCACGTTTACAAAATTGGTGCGCAACAGTGGCAGGTAATAAAAGAGCAATAAAAATCTGCAAATAACTTGTCATTAGTACAGTGACTGTAAAGCACCAGTTGCGTTTGAATATAAAGAATGAATATACATAATTAAATATGTACATATAAATCTACATTAGGTCGTACCACGTTTCAAGAAAATAAAACAAGTTCGCGGTACACCCCTGAGTTAAATTCAAAAAATTGGCTGAGCCCAAGGGTCGCGCCTTTTACTATTATATTGTTCGGACACCTACATCGAGCAAAAAATTTTTAAAATAGTTCTACCGAAATAATCAAAAAAATTCCTGAGCATAAGTTTAATGATTTTTGGCGAGGTTTAATTTACCGCCGTTAGAGTGGTAGGAATAGAGATCTGGTGTGTAATTGATATAACCGTGTACTTAAGGTCAATGTCTTTTGAGACAAACAAATTTTTTCCTCTAGACAAAAACATCTATATATTATACTTTAATAACCGACTGTAAATGCCGAAGGTATCACGAAAAATTTAAAAAGTCGACACCACGTTCGGCAAAAAATATATAAATAAAAATTGCCTCTCAAAAATCCTTCTGGTACACGATCTAATGTACATATGTACATACAGGGATGTTGCATATCAGGGATGTTGCGAATGTGCGCATTCGCATTCGTTATGCGAATGGTTCGCATCATTTTACACATACGCATTCACATCAAATGATACGAATATTTTGCGAATGCGAATGTGTAAATGGGCAGAGAGTCGACTCTAATATTGTTGAAATGGCTCTAAATCTGTCTAACCAGGGTGCAGACAATAACCGGCTTTTAGCTCCAGGCGCTAAACGGTTAATTAGTATATCAAGCAACATTGATGGGCCTGCTAAAAGTCTTATAAGCAACATAGAAATAATTTTAGATTCCTGCGGCGAAAGCGAAGGATCGAATGTAGAATCTGAGGACATTAAAAATTTTAAACCAAAGCTCAATTGAAGGCCTCTCTTAAAGAAAAACAATTTGGCAGATCTGGAACGCAAATATTTGAGCGCTCCACCCTCCAGCGTTCCAAGTATGTAAACAATTGTTCAGTGCAGCCGGCCTTATATACGAGCCTCTAAGAAATCGCCTCATGGGAGAAAAGGCAGCAAAATTACTTTTTTTTTTTATATAATATGCTCCTTTTGAACTTTGACTACTACAAACAGAAAAAAACTGTACATATATATAGGTTAAACACTCGTTCAATGTTCTAATAATTTACAAAATTTTTAAGTAATAAAAACGAGGACTTAAGTTGATTATAGTTTTTTTTAATGTTATTCCTAACATTCGCATTCGCATGCCGAAAATTCGCATTCGCATTCGCGAATTTGAAAAATATGCCATTCGAAACATTCCTAGTACATATGTATGTACCTAGGCAAGTGCATATAAACGTTTTTATCTGACACAAATGTCAGCTGCCGTTTAATGTCTTTTTCTGCATTCATATTTATTTTAATAATTTTTCGCCACTGTCATTTCAATCTGCATTATTATTATTGTTTTTACTGTATTTGCTTAGTAATTATGTAAACGCCGCCGTGCTTGCTGTTTGTTGTGGTGATGTTTAATTTGCAATTTTTTCATCCAACACTATAGTGTTTATAAGCGCGTCGCAAGTGTCCAAGGTGCTGCTGTGTGACTGCTACTGTAAAAAAAGCTTTAACCAAACATATTTGCATTGTGACAGCAACAAAACTCTCAACATCGTCGATAGATTTTGCAAATCATGCGACGATGACAATTTGAAATTCATGCGATTAATGTTTCCTATTGTTTGCTGTTTTTGTTGCGATCGTTTTTTTCTCCCTCATTGTTCTTTGCGAGTCCTTTTTTCATATGTACCTACTGCGGTGTGATTCTTGGTGACACCCTTCGCGTGGATCTATTAACTTTTCCGCTTCTTTTTAATGTAATTAGCAGAGATTATTTGCTGGAAGAATACAGCGTAGAGTATTTGTAGAATTAAATCCTCATTAAATGTTGCAAATTTCCTTTGGAAGCAACTCAGAAATTTCTTCCGGAGTGCAAAAGGGTTTTAGTGAAGCTTATGGTTACATATCAATTACAGTAGCTCGACTATACTCAAACCCTACTCTTGCGTCTGCGTTCGCGCACCTTGAGCAACCCATGCGCGTGATATTGTAGTCAACCCGTGTGGTGCCTTGGGTCACGCTAGAAAGATAGAGCTTTAGTGGGACTACTTCCCCGTACACGGTTTAACCGTAGATTGAGCCATAAAAATATTTCATATATGTATCATTTTTGTTAAAAATTGCAGTTCATAGAAAAAACAACGATTTATTAACGGTCCGCTAAAGTGCGAAACCGAAGAATGAAGAGCTGTGCATGAACTTACCTACACAGTAGACGTGCTGGGGTTTGAAATGAAGTGATTTTCCGGAAGCATACGTTTAATCATGAATGTAGAGCTTCTTAGGGCCAAATTTACAGCGCGTAGTTAACTCAGAATCGGCAGTTAACTACAGATTTTTGTACCGAAGCTCATACTGCTTTCTCTCTCTTCATTTCTTAGCTATACAGGCAGCATGCACATTTTCAGTTAAATGGCGGGGCAAGGCTCATGTGCTGACGATAGTTGAGTATCTCTTTCCGCAGATCTGTCGTCTTTCGCTTGTACGCCCAAACCAACAGGGCGATTCTAGCAAAGATAGTTAAAGACCTTTTGTAAGTTTGTAAGAAAATTTAAAGACAGTAGGCAAGATAGTTTGCAAGGTTTATTTTGCGTATATCATTTTGCTCGCGCTGCTCCAACAGTCGCAATGATCGAGTGAGCGAAGCAATGTCGTGCCAATCCAGCGATCCGAGGTTCGAATATTTGCGCCGCGGATTCTTCTTTTTTGTTTTTTTATTATTATTTTTATTACTTATTTTCGTCTTAATTTTTTTTTTTTTTTTTTGAATTGAATTTTTAGATTTCATTGTTTTAAAGAGAACAACATATTTTTTTAATAACTATAATTTTCATATAAATAATTTTTATTATGTAAATTGAACTCTTCCACCACGCTAGGTGTCTTTTTTATTGCTCGGTCAGAAAACTTATTTCTAAAAGGCAAACAGAAGAAAAGACTGTGGTAAGTTGAAAGGCAGTTGCTAGAATTGCCCTGTAAGCTAAAGGTATGAAACTTTTCGACACCTAGTGTTGAACAAACGTCAAAGAGCCAGGGGCATTTAGCTGAGCTGAAACAAGCTAACCACACCGAGGCTCGCCTTATTACTTTTTTGTTGCCAAAAGGGTACTTAATTGCTATAGAGAAGATTCGATGGAATTGTGGGGGTTTGCCGTTATCTAACGAGTAATAGAACGAACTTTTATCTATTCGATTACGGCGGCAACCGTAACACCATTCTTCAGTCTCGTTCGCTAGCTGGATAATGATTGGTGTAGATCAGGGGATCCATGCAACAATTAACTTTAGCTCAAAATTAAATAACTTACTTATTAGTATGTTAGTACCTATGCACATTAGGGTGGTAAAAAAAAAAAATATGATTGTGAAAAGGATAAGTCAGAAATTTTATGCTCTCTGTATTTTATATTGGAAACAAATAACTTTTCGTAGGAATGGTGTAGAATTCTTGAAAATCAATATTTTTCGATCGGCAAACTCTGCTTCTCCTCAGAAGATTCTCTATAACAATACCCAATTGTTTATTTAACCATTTTTTCATAGTAACTGTATTTTATAGGTCCGCCAAAAAGTACTTGAGCTAATCAGTATACTATTCGATGGCTTATATTCACTACGACCATCTGAGACTTAAACTATCATTAAACAAAAACTGATTTAATTAAAATTGTGTGCATTCGAATTTGCAAAAAGCTCGTTTTTTTTTGTTTTTGGTAAACAAACTGCATTAGCTTTTACACACAAACTCATACATACATATACATTTTATTGTAAGGCTCCTATGAATATTAATTAAAATTGGTGATGCGTATGAAATTCATACAAAACAAACAAAAATCCATTTACAACATATCCATTTTTACATTGAACTTACTAACTGCACGTGCGCACTTGTCGAGGCAAGGTTCAGTTTTTTGCATACACTCTTATGTTGCCACTTGTAAAAATAGTTTTCATAATAATGGCAAGGATATTTTTACGTTCGAAAAAACTGCAGATACCAAAAATAATAGCAAAAAAGCAACCATATCACTTTTGAATGCTTTTTAGCCTACCCTGGCGTTGAGAAGAAGCCCGCTAGCGTTGGGTTTTCACGTCACTCAACACACTGCGACGACGACGACAACCAGCTCAGGCCGTTGTGGCCAGGCTGTTGTCCTTCGATGCAACCCTTTTCATATGATTTTAAGTTTTTGTTGCCAGTCAACAATGTTTACTCAGCCAGCAGTGGCAGTGGCAAAAAAAAAACACGCATCGTCTATTCATATGCAAGGAGGGGAGAATACAGCAACAGTAATGGCTGATAAAAAAGGATGAGTATGCAGATAGCAGCCAGATTCCTTGGCTGACAAGTCACATTTCATGCGGCAGAGATGAAGGATTTTTTAATATTGTAAAAAAAAACACAAGCACACAAACCACACACAAAATTCAGTAAAAGGGCAAAGTGCGAGGTGAAGTGGTAATTAAGGTACTTAAATACAAATTATTATTTGTATTTATTGTTGGTAAGTGTGTGGCAAGTATGCCAGTCCAGCTCTGGTAGTCGTCTTCTTCGATGATCTGGCCGACGAAGTGCCAGTAGATGTGGTAGCCGAAAAACCGCAAGGAATTCCAGCAAGTAAACTTGATCATGTAACACAGGCAATCAATATTTGCGTGTGTGTGTGTGTGTGTGTGTGTAGGTATTTAATATCACTGCGCTCATATTCACACTTGCATGCATCGATTGTAAGACCTTAACTCCTTCATTGCTGCAAGTGCTCGGTAAACTTTTAGCTTGGTTGGCAGTCAGCCAGGTAGGCAAATAAGCCTTACAAACTTAAGCCACAGATACATGTCAGTCTGACTGGTTGGCCTGCAGGGCTGACAGACAGGCTCAGTTCAGTCGTCTGCTGCACAGTCAACCACAAGCGCAGACACCCAAAACTCTACTCAACGAACACACTTACTTACACGTGCTGTGGCAGGTACGGGTTGGAAAGTGTGCTGATAAGTACATACGTACATATGTATTTATGTGTGTGTGCTTTTACCTGAATGCTTGAACATTACAAATTTACTTACATATGTTGCGAAAATCCATTGTTGCAATTTTATCCCTTTATGTTGTCATCTCTCTGGCAATCAATTTTCCTTCGCCTTTTTGTGGTTGCAGGGAGCGAAGTTTTAAATTTCATAATTTTGAGACTTTAATCCATTCGATGGCGTCGCGACGCAGGTCATGTGGAACATGCACATCATTTGCAGCCAATTGTGAAGAAAAGAATTTCGCTTTTTTTCTTTCTAGAAATATCTACGTTCGATTCGCAGAAAATTTGTTACAAGCATTTTTTTCTTTTTTAAAATAAAACAAAAATTTAGCATATTAATCTTCTACTTTCACTGGTAAGTTAATTGGCAAGACATACTTGCAAACTGCTTTCGCCGATTGCCTATCTCCTTTGCAAAATTAAGTAGACAGATCACCCTGTACCTGTCCCTTCCATTTTGCTGGTGGTGCCGAGTTGAAGGAGCTATATCGTTGTATACTTATATTTTTAACTATGTCAAATGTATATGGAAAATTCGAAAAATATATCATAAACAAATTTTTGGGCGCTTACACTTTTGCTAAGTGTTTGGCCTAGCTTCTCCTCCAATTTGTGGTGCACCCGGTGGCTTGCTATTGCCGGCCGAGGGGCGACCGTTATTAGAAAAAAAATTTTTTATGCTGCTTAGACCAGGGATCCAACACCGATCCTACTGGGGGTAGAGCGCACCTCTAAGCACTCGACCCCGGTGGCTGCCAACATACCATCCTAATGCCAGTAAATTAAAGCTCGCAAAAAGTCATTCAATTTTCGCTAACATTAGGTATTTCGATATAAAGGCAATTTGTAGTTTTTTTTCGAAAGTAGCGGTCGACTTTAAAAATTTTACGCCGAATCTTTGACATTTACAGTCGGATCTTGAGGTATGATATATCGATGTTTTTGTCTCAAAAAGACAATTTTTTGTTCCAAAATTCATTGATCTCAAGTACCTTTTTCTAATACCTACCCACTGGACCTTAGATCTTATCACCCGTACGTACCATCCTTATGTCAGCAAATTAAAGATCCCCCAAAAATTATTAAACTTTTCAGAATAAAGTATTTTGATTATGGGAGTAGAAATACAAACAGCGGTCTTACACGATACGTATTTGCATGTGTAAATGCTAAAAAAAAATGAAATGTTTTATCTCTATTATGTGCACATAACAAAATAAAGTGGTGCCCCATACAAAATTTAGGTATTGATATTTTTAATTACCACACTAATGCGTAAATTAAGCTTGTGATTACACTCATGCATACGCATAGATAGAAAACTAATTTACTCATCAATCTCATAATGCCATGCAATTATACCCCGCAATGCAAAAACCCAAATCAACATTTATTGTATGTATGTAATTATTCTATTGAAATTAAGTTGAGCAAACGCTAATTGTATATCAGCATACAATTAATACATGTTTGTAAATCGTTATGTATTTATGCACTCGTATAAATACCATTTGACTTCAGTTCACAAATGTTTCAATAAATTTAATGCATTAAGTACTTATTTGCAGTTTATTAGTAATTTTCCAACTGATTATTGTTATTAATCCGTCCTTTGTTTGAAACCATACAACGAAATAATTGGGAAACTAAATTAAATTTTTATGTGAATGTAATTAATACTCGTACTTTTGTGGTATTCATTAATTTTGTATATGGGGCGTTCCATACCAAAATGGACGGGGTTCACACTTCATGTGTTTAATTTGTTTCAAATTTTTGAGGTTGATGCATAAATATAAATAATAAATAAATATGAAATTTGAGCTTGATTAATACATTTTTAAAAACTTTACAGCACAAAAACAAAAGCAAATCGATTTAATACTTTTCCAAATATCTCGAGAACGGGGCGAGAAAAAAATTTGAAAAAAAATCACACGTACACACATCAAAATTCTCCATGAAAAGAATTATGTTTGACATTTTTTTTTGTAATTTTTCACATACAAATTTTTTGATAAAAAAATTTATTTTTGAAAATATGCCATCTCAAAAAAATAAAAAAATAAATCACAATGGCAGCTCTGAGTATTGCGCAATATTTAAGTATAGTATTACGGGGTGCACACTACAATAATTTGAGTTTTGAGTGAAATGAAAACATTAAAAATTTAAAAATTTTTAAATTTTTTTTGAGTATGCAGTTTTGTAGCCCATTAAATTTTGGAGTAGCTTAAAGCTTGCACTGTATTATACTAAAATTTAATAGGCTACATTACTGCATACTCAAAAAAATTCTAAGAAAAA